GAGCTCTGCTGCCAACAGAACGACTGCTCCTGCAACTGCGGAAGCTTCAAAGCCGTGCGCTGGCTACAACAAATATGCCTGTGCCTGGCGTTTGGAGCGAGCCTGTCCCAATTGGGTTTTCCAGAATGGCGATGCTTGCGCGAAATGTCAAGTACGTTCACCAAATCATCAGGCACATTGGATTAAGGTCTAACTGGGAGACAGTCTGAGGGCATGAAATCAAAAAGGACATGAGCCCAAATCAGTCGTCGTTGAAGGGGTTGATTTCTTGGACTCAATGGGGTTTCCTAAAATTTCAGCCTTGATACCCACGACCCACCATCGCGGCGTCCCCGGATGAAGAGCTATGCCTCTTTAGGACATTGATCGCGTTAAGCGCTTGGTTGATCCGCTATTTCCGCGTCTTGTCTTCTTGCTGGCAGATTGCGCGATGGCAAAAATGAAACTAGAAGATTCAACTTCACAACTTTTGCTATCACGCCTGGTGAACACCTTCAATCTCTCTTTTGCGTCCAAAAAAAACTCGAGTGCCGCTGGAATATCCGAATATCAGGCGCACTTGACGCGGATCGTCGCACAACTCCCGCAGAATCTCGGATCTACCAATCGCCATAGCATCCATGCCCGTGGAACCGTCGGATGACGTGGGAACTCGATGAGAAAAGCTCGTGACTCACGCTTTGGAATATCGCACCCCTCCTCGAACCCGGCGGTTAGCAACGAATTCAGCATGTCAAGCCGCCCGTTCCTTGCGACTCTGCTTGTACCTCCACCACTCAAGGCATAGCTTCCACGCTGTAGCCTACCTCGGCTCGATCGAGAGATGGACTTGCATGTTTCTTCTCGAATCAGCTCACCATGCAGGCTCTCACAGGGCCTCTGAAATCGGCAGAAGCTTCTGTTCCAAACTGGTCCCAAGACGAAAGTAATTCGAGCGACAACGATGATGTTCTTCATGCAAATTGAAAAAGTCGTACCACCAATGCCGTCAGCCTCAAGTAATCAGTAGTCCTGCAGCCCAATACCCATATGACATGTGGGCAATTTCGATCCTCTACGCAGCGACCAATTTGACTGGACGATCGTGGTGCGGTCGGCAATTGGGACGATTTGCTCGAGATTGAGATGACAGGTGTGGAGGTCGATCCACACTTCCTCTGCTCCCCACTTTCCAAGCGCGAAGCTGACCCTTTGCATGGCCTGGAAGAAGAGGGTGCGTAGTACGTACCTGGCGGCCAAGTCTGTAGGCTGAGAGCCGCCACCACTTGCTGCTTCACCAGGCGCCTCTTCGGCTAACCTGCAAGATTTCATCTGCAATCTTTGTCCTACTACAAGCTGGAGTGGTCATGCCACCATATTCCCGGATCCGAGCTCCCGTTGCTTCGGCGAAGACCGCCCCACAGAATCAATCCAAATCAATCTCACGGCGTCTGATCTTGGACTAGTCTGCCGCGTCATTCCTCTGTCGATCTGGGGGCTGAAAATGTGCTTTTTTGTACCGCGGTAGTTGTTATAGTCGACATGTGGAGTTGAGCCTCGCTACTTTTCCATTCTATCTGTTGGCTTCCGTTGCACTTCAGCAGAGCCTCCAAAGTTTGGCGGGCGAGTGCCACTCGGCTTGCGATCTTGCCTGAAACACCCGAGTCTGGCATGGTCGATTATCCTCGATGTGTGCCCGAGCCCTTTCCAACGGCCATCTTTGGAGTTTTATTCAAAAACGCCCTTTTTCACCCCCCCATCCATCGACATCATTCAGAATCAGCCGCCAAATCCACCCAGGGGTGAACAGCAACAACGAAAAGTTTTCTCGCGGTCCTGGCGACGGGCAAGCGCATAGGGATGCTGACATTTGTCATGGGATACGCATTGAGATGTCTTTTCCCGCTGTCTACTGCCCTGTGTGGAAGAGGGTAAGAGCAGACAAACTTACCGGCACATATGCCCTTCACATGGAAGGGCAGCGAACTCGCACGACTTTTGACACGACACGTTGGTCTGCGTTTCAACCAGAATCCTACACCTGTCGAGTCTATTTCTGAGTCTTAGAGTCGCGGATGGGGTCATTTTCACCCAAGCGCAAAATTGACCGTTCGCCTCAGTCACCTGGCGAGAAGACTGAATGCAAAAGAAGCAACATCGCAGTGGTTTTATGCGTCTGTTAAGAGCAAGGGATCACCAATGAGGAAATCAATTCTGGAGTTCTCTCAAAGATCCAGCCGAGGCAAGCGTATCAACATCGACAATCTCCGAGGTCTCAACGCAGGAGAAAGCAACTATCTCCGACCGCGACTGGCACAAGATCAATGGGCCAAGCGATGGTCTGAAAATGCAGAGAACCAGCTCTTGGAATGTCGCCGCGCATGCTTATAGCCACTGCTTCAAGCTGGGCGCCTTTCAATAAACCTATTTTGCCTCGAATCCTCGCAGGAGCAAAAGACACCACAACCGCTGATGGCGAAAGGACCACGCGACGTTCTGTCAGACCCTCCACCTCCACATCTGCAGCGAGCCCTAGGGCTACCGGTGACAGCTGTCAGTCAGGACCTCGGTGCCCGCAACGACCACCAGGCCAGCCCAGTCCGATTGGCGCATCTGTGGCATTTCCAGTGCAGCACGACGCTCACAATATCCAAGCAGAGCAAAGAGCAGCACACACAGACACACGGACGCCGGCGTACAACAACATGTTACGGCCGGTCGACGGGCAGGGCTTGCCCTCTTGTACCCCTGCCATACCCTGAGAGGAGCAGCCGAGACACAGTTCCAAAAGCGGTTACACCTCCCGTGCGGCGGGGCAAGGGTTCTCCTCTTCTCTCCGTCGACTTTTCGCGAACTCTCAGAGCCGCGAATCATGGAGTCGACTGCTCGGTCACAAAGTGCCCACCTACTCTTACTTGCCTGGCCAAAATGCAGGTCCCGCTCGCAAGGAATGGCGCGCCATGTACGTGCGGTACGGTACGGTACGGAACGGCACAGGTGCCAGCCAGCTACATGGGTCAGAGAAAGCACCAGCAGGTCAAGATAGACGCGACTGGCAGCAAGAACCGACGGATCAATCCGGTGCTCTGAGCTTTTACCGCACCATGGCCTGCAAGATTCTTTGAATGAGGGCATGCTCGCGATGAAGCTATTGCCTCCTTAGGGCAAGCAAGTAAGGACCTAGGAGGCGTCGGGACCACTCGACGAAACTACCCCTCAAAGGGATCTACAACACCTCGAGCACGTACCGGCTCTCCGTTGTTCATCTCCTCGGCCTACCTCCACACCAATCGCTCACTCGCCCACTGGCTCAGTCATTGTCAGTCGCTTGCTGCTGGCTTGCTCGCTTGCCAAACTGCCGCCATTTAAAGTCCAAGCGCGATAATAGCCTTTGCTGTTCTCCGGTACACATGCCCGCGCCCTCTTCTTTCGTGCCCTCCAGGTTTCCAGCTCCCTGGTGGCGTAATTTTCGTATCCTCCTCTTGCCTTCAACATCCCAGCTTGTCCTCCCCCTGTTTTGATATTCCCTCCCCTCTTCCCTCCCCCGCTTGACTCTATTCTGCCCTTTCGCCACCTTGATTGACCTATCCATTCAGTAGGAGCTGCATATCTTGCCCTTCCCACAGGCGCTTGATTCTCATACATACAGAGACCTGGCGGCGCATCCGTGCACACGCACATGCTTCCGCTGTCAGTAGGGGCGCCCTGCACTCAACTCAAGCCAGCCGGCTGCCCGTCCCGTCCATCCAAACTGCAGGTCGAATCTTAAACAATCTACTCCGGTTCAACAGCCAGCCGCGGCAGTCGATGAGCCGAATGCCGCTGAACTAGAGCCCCATTGCTGCTGCATGTCCCATTCATGGAAATCGCAGCGTGCGCACGGTCCGTACCGCACGAAAAACGGTGGCTAGCCGGCTGAGCAGACAGCCGTGTTGTCTGTGCAGCAGTCTTGCACTGCAGATATCTCTATCTTTATCTTGGTCTACTTTTCCGACGTGGAGAGGAGAGCCGGGGACCGCAATGACGTGTGCACGGCCCTCTTCTGTCCTCTCTGCTGCAGCAGACTTTCAGTGGTCTGAGAGACTGACTGGTCTGCTGCTGCCTTGAATCTGCCCAGACCGTGACTCTCCAGAGGCGCGTCGACTGTCTGGACTAGTAAGAGGAGAAAAGGAGGTGAGTGGTGGAGATAAACCTTATGAAGCCGATGTGCTGGTCATTCGATCATTTCGGTAGGTCAGGCAACTGGATCGCGGCATCCAAGGCTGTAAGCTGAGATGAATCTGTCGAGAAACCAGGAGTGAAAAGACTTATCATCAGATAGACTAAAGCTGCTAACGAATAGGTGGATCTATCAAATTTGGAAAATTTCAGCGCAATGCTATTTATCCAGATCTCAACTCGTCTCGCGCTCAAAAACGTCACATTCGTGTTACCAACATGCTACATAAATTCGTTGTAGGCAAACACTGCATCCAGTCGCTTCTAACACAGGAAGAATATCGTCTTGTCCTGCTTCAGTCCTATTCCAGTCACTCTCAACATGTACCCTTTACGATGCAAGTGGCCAGCGTTTTGACCGAAGACCCGACTGTCTCCCAGCAATTTCCCCCTTGCGCCTTCCTCCCGAATGATACCCTTCAATTGAACTGGACTTTATTCCAGGACTGCTACTGATCATGTATAGTCGAGTTTGGCAGTCAGCCAAAATGTTTACGTCCCGAGGCGCTCGGAAAGTGGTTGAATTACCGTATTCGGCGGCTCCAACCCATTACTTTCCCGCTCTCATTCAACTTCCACCTCTTGCGACTTCCAAATCTGAAAGCCAGACACATGGCCGGCGCCACATACCGCACATCACCATCAGCCCCCTTACCCGTGGTCAACCCGCCTTTCCCCCGGCGGTACCAAACGTACGCGCTCGCACGGCCCTGGAGCCTAAACCGCTTTCCAGCTTCGCTACCACCCTACAAAATCGCACGGCCGCGCAAAAAGACAGAGGGGAGCGGCAAAAAATAAAGGGACAGGTCGGCCAGGAATTGAACCTAGGACTTGCCGCGGACACGACTGTTTTTGCCGCGGCATATGTTACCACTACACCACCGACCCTGTGTATACCACTGAAGCTACAACAGTTGTCTAAATAATCAGCCACGCGACAGTAAAAGTCCCGCAGAGCCACAATTCAAGGCAACGGAACGGTGACAAACACGCAAAACAGTGGTCAGTGCCCCTGAGCTAGCCTCTGTCAAACCTCGCTACCACTCAAAACAGAATGCGACATTCAAATTCAAAAGCTACGGAGAGCAAAAAGCAAGAGCTAGGTCAGCCAGGATTTGAACCTGAGACTTGTCGCAGGAAAGACTGTAGCCGCGGCACATGTTACCACTACACCACCGACCCTGTGTATACTATGAGAGCGGTCGCACATTTTTATATACCACGCTAAAGTCTCGCAATGAGAGCACAGAAAATCGAAAGTCGGAAACTCTGCACGACTAGAACGTACGTGGTCGGTCGACACCCCTGACTATCCCCATCACACCTCACGACAAAAAGGCTTCACAATCAAACGCCCGCATAAAACCAGTTCACGAATCGATCGAGACTTTCCCGTGGAGTGATATTTGCTGCTGACGTGCGTTGCCTCTAGATATCAAACCCCAAAACACACTAGGGGAGCAATCCTGGAAGTCGATACACTGTACCAACCGCTCACAACACCTCCACTCAATGATTTAGTCAACGTAGAAGAGAAGATATCGGAAATGCGGGCGCGGCGCTCTTGTACGGCTTTGCTTTGCTGCTTCATTGCAGACAATATGACACCCCTATTCCAAGGGGAAGACTGAAAGCAAGATGAGTCGATAAGTCGGTCAGCCAGAGATCAAATCCGCGACTTAGTCGCTCAACGCGCAAACACAGAGAACGAAGTTTTGGCAAATTCTAGCAAAAATACTGCCAGATAAAAGCACAGGCACCAGCAAAATATGGCTCCGCCCTGGCAAAAAAAAAAGCCGCAAGTGTCGATCAAGTCTCTGACCCAGTGCCACTAAACACCTCACGACACCCGACATAACTCGAGCCTCGCTACCAAACAACACCACCGGGCCATAGCGAAGGGCAAAAGAGAATCAGATTGGCCAGGATTTGAACCTGAGACTTGCCGGAGCAGCTACGAATAGCGGCGACATATGTTACCACTACACCACCAACCATGATGGGAAGGCGGTTGCGGGTGTTTATATATGCAACACAAGGTACCAGCACCATCAGCGCGCCCGATGATGTTTCGATGTACACGACCGAGTTTCCTCTATGACGACTTTGATGGAGAGAAAATTTGAATTTCTCCAACCTGATTCTCGTCATTTGAGTGGTCGGCGGAAAAGAAAAGGAGAGACATTTCGCTCCTTATCCTTCTTTTGTCGATCGCTATACCTTTCCGATCTCAGAGGTTGACATGTAAAGCGACACAACACAACCCTTGTCGCACACAGTATCGGCGCGCGCGCGCCTCTCGCCATCGTCCAATCCTTTCTGGCGACAAGCAAGCAGCACTACTCAAAACATTACCTTCCCACATCAGCGAACCACTCATTCCAGCTTAATTCACAGTATCAAAGCAGCCGACGCGCCCTGATTTCCAAATCCCTCCATTCATAATTTAAGACATTGAAAAGCATGCAACGTGGAGTAGTTAAGAGAGGGGACGGATTTAGACTAGGGAAGGTGGATTGAGAGTTGAGACATATTATAGCGAGGGAGATTTAGCATTTAGAATTTACCCCCTATATAAACACACATTTCCACTATCCCTCCAACAGCGGCACTATAGCCGAAGGGCTGGGAGTGTACATGTAGAGGAAAACACGTATCGACGGACATCCACCTCTCCGGGTCCGCGGTAAGTTCTAGGTTCAAATCCTAGTCAGCCCAAACGCCGCCATACTTTTTGCCTCTCGTTTTGTTGCGCGGTAGCGAGGTGTTGGGTTGTGTGGTAGCGAGCATTTTAGGGTGGTTGACGGTGTTGAGTCAGAGATGGGATCTGGGTATGGGTGGATGGGGCCCAGGGTTTGGGTGTGAGCGGGTGAGGATTGTAGGTTTTGCGCCTTTTTTGGCATTGAGATGTTGTGGGATAGATGATATTGAATCATCTGGAAAAGATCGCGCATTCTGCACGCGTTGCGAGCATCAATCGCTCAGCAGGTCTTTCAGTGTCGTCACCAAGCAACCTTCTGAGGCCTGCTCCTGTTGACCGCGAGAAGATTGCTAGCTACATTTGCACATTTCACGCACTCCGGGTTTTCCGACCAGCTACGTCCCATTCTTGTAAGAGAAAAAACATCATAGTCCTGCTGGATGACATGAGACAGCATCGTAGGCAGCGAAAGGAAATGTCAACTCAAAGAGCTCTTAACCAAAAAGATGCTTAAAGGGAGAATTTGAGTGGCCAATAACTGAAGACAAGAACCTAAAGTTTCAAATAATGACAGAGAGCATTCAAGCAGCCCTGCCATACTACCAGCATTTCTTTTGGGACTCCTGACATCGAAAGTTGTCACTCTCCGACCACAGCCTCTGTGATGATATACTCGTTGCCTTTATTGCTTCTTGCAGCATTGGTTCATGCAGAGACTCGACACCCACTTCATTCTGTCCGGGCTCCATGCAGCGCAGTAGAAGGTAATTTGGTGTCTTCCGTATCGTAGGACTGTGGTTCCCAGGAGGCCATGACTGGCAGTGTCGACTTCAAGGCCAAGCGCACTGGGGAGTCGCGCCTTCTTCGGGGGGCAGTCAGATCACCAATATGAGCGAGTGCATGTAGGTAATCGAGTTGTGAGGCCGATGGTTAGCAGTGATGGATTGCAGGCCTGGGAATGTAGCAGCGCGTAGCATGTCCTTTTACACAGGGATGTAGGATGGTTGTAGGACCGCGTAGGGAAGGACCGCTGGACGTCCATTTTCTGGGTTCGCTGCGGTCAATATACGTCGATCTTCCATGTAGCTGGTTCAGATGGAATGCCGCGCCCATTGATCTGGGAATTGGATGAAGAACGCTGTTGGTTTCCCTCATGTCAGCCGCGCATGTTGTTCTCCATCACCATCACACAAGGTGGTACGTCAACGCAAAGTTCTTGAGGATCCGACATCTGTATTTCGCTATACACAGATGTGCTTCGTGAGATTGCAGTGTCATCTGCCCCCTTCGACCTAAACGACCCCGGCGATTTCTGTCACTCGATCGAGCACGCTACGACTCGACCCAACCCGTGTACCATTTTAATCATGCAATGCAAGGAAAAGAAGAGGGAGCCATTGAGACCGAGCAAGCGTCTCCCCGAACAGCCGACGTTGTAATTTATCAATCAACCCGAGATGTACGCCCCACCGAGTAGCTCCCTACGAGAGTGAAGACGCCTCTCATTTTTTTGAAATTCGCGCGACATCCGACCCGACCCCAAAATTCCTGTCCACGAGTCACCGCTTGGAGAAAAAGAGAAGCCGGTGGTTTGCCGTCGTCGATGAGTTTGCCAGATTTGTCGAGACCGAAGAGAGAAACCGGGCAGTCGCGCAAGCGCAGTGTCGATGCGCTTACTGGGGAGCGGCGCGGCCACGGCCGAAGCCACCACGGAACTGGGGCTGGAACTCGCCGGGGGCACCACCCTCCTTCTCGCCACCCTCACGACGGCGGTAGCCCTCACGGTCACCGCGGGGACCGCCACGGGGACCACCGCGCCTCTGGTCGTCGAGCATGCCGCGAGGAGGAGCGTGCGAACGCTGCTGCTTGATGTGCGTCTGGGGGACGATCTCGGCGGGGAGGTGGAGCCACTCGCGGAGGTAGTCGAGACCCTCGGGGGTGAGGGTGTAGTAGTAGTACTGCCACGAGAACTGGGTCTTCAGGTAGCCGCGGGAGGTGAGCGACTGGCAAGCCTTGATGACCTGTGGATTTCATGAGCGTTTGTTGCGATGGCCATCGAGGCCTTGTGTCGGCAATGAAAGGGCATGCGTGCTTGCGCATTCACATGGCCCAATTCATTTCGTCTGCGGTTTCAACGTACGTAGAGGTTCTTGACGTCAATCTCGGTGTGCTTGGGAAGGGTGAAGTCCTGCAGCAAGTCAGTATTGACGGACTCTATTGAGCGTCGCAGCAAATCTTACCTTCTTCGCGACGAGGACACCCTCGCGGAAGAGGTACTCGTGGATCTTCTTGCGGTCGGCCTTGGGGATGAGCATGATGGGCGATTGATTGGGGTTTGTCGGGTGGCTGGCGGGCTCGTCGTCGTCGGTCGCTGCGATAATGGCGAGGAATTCCTGCTTGGAGTTTCTGAGTGCGCGGCGAAAGGTAAAGCCGAAGCGAGGTTTGCCAAGACTTGAGCTGGGTGCTGAGTGCTGCCGACGTGCGGCCGACAGCGTCTTCCGGCGGCGACATCAACTACTGGCCCCATCTCCAACACTCAATCTGCATATCCAGCTCGAACCCTCCCGAATACACATTCGCTCAATCGCGAAACCACCGCGCTCAGCATCCTCACCGCTGGAACTCCACAATTCGGAATCCAAAAACCGGCATCGGACCTGCAGCGCAAACCACCCTCAAAGTTGCGGCGCATCTTGACGCACTTCAACATGGCGCCCTCGATCATCAACGTCTTCCTCACCTCCTTCCCCGGCTTGGGTCTCCCATCGACGCTATCCCTACCGCTTTCTGCCCAGCTGCCCTTCTCAGACTTTACCCAGGAAGTCTATGATCGCATACCCAACGTCAACAACCGACTCATCTTTACGACCGCCTCGAACAAATTACTAGACCCCGAATCATCAACGCCACTGGCCTCGCTCCTGTCATCGCCAAGTGATGACTTTCTCTCCCTCCGTCTCAGCGCTCCGCTATGCGGTGGCAAAGGTGGTTTCGGCTCGCAGCTCCGCGCCGCTGGTGGCCGCATGCGCAAGAAGCGTGGCGCGGGCGAAAACAATGGATCATCGCGCAACCTCGAAGGTCGCCGCTTGCGCACGGTGACTGAAGCCAAGGCGCTTGCCGAATACCTAGCGATCAAGCCCGAGATGGCCAAGAAGGAGAAAGAGGAGCGTCGCAAGAGATGGGAGGACATTGTTGCTATGGCCGAGGCCAAGGAAGATGAGCTCAAAAAAGGAGGCAAAGGTCGTTTGGATGGTCAGTGGATGGAAAACAAGGAGGAGGCTGAGGAGAAGACAAGAGAGGCGGTTTTGGCAGCGCTGAAGAATGGAGGGATCAACGACGTCTTGGGAAAGAAGGAGAGCGACTCGTCGGCCAGCCCGTCCGAGGGCAGTGGGGAGGAGAGTGATGAGGAGATGGAGGAGAAGGCTACCGCGAGCTCGTCCAAACCTGCACCGGCTTCCAGGACATTCTTTGGGTGGGACGAAGACGAAGATATGAGCGATTCAGAAGAAGACGATGATGAGGAGGCGGAACCAAAGGTCGAAGGCAAGGGTAAGGGTAAAGCTTGAAGCTTTTCTACCTGACGTCCCATGGAAAAGAGGATCAGGACCAAACGACCCACAGCTCCTTGTTGTGGACGTATCCTGCACTTTCAACCATCTGGGACCCGCTTCACTCTTGCCGGGGCATTCAAATTTTCTGCGTGCAAGGACCTGGTACGTCCTTCAAATTGGGATGGCATGAACGCTTCAGCGAGGAGTTTTTGGAGTTTTGGAATCATCGACGGACTGGCGCTTTAAATACCCACATAACAGTACGAAGAATGGCAAGACGTACTTCACCAGCGTAGCTTCGGCTTTTCCGAAGCCACAGTCCAGCAGCCTCAAATGGAAATTTCTACAGCATCTGCGTGTCCACTGCCTCTGCAATAGTGCTTAAGCCACACCATCACTCGACGCCGCGGCAGACGCGGTAAGCGCCTCGCATGCATGCCCAGGAGAATTATGCAGCAGACAGCGGACTAAAAAGACACTGCATACTCTGCCAAGAGAAGCCCTGGAATTATCATCGTGAGGTATATCCGACCACTCGGCAGTGTGCAGGTGTGTCGTCAGGCTCAGTAGTGACGAGCGGCCCTGGAAGCGGGCATGCAAGCAAAGCAAGCTTCAGAGCAAAAGCCGAGCAACCGTCCCTTCCCGCTCATGGGTATTCAATGCCGCGTCGGAAGTTGCTTACTGTGCGTGTACTCAAATAATCGACGACGTTGCCAAACATTTGATGCCCTGACGATAGCTTCAT